ATATACTCTATATTATTAATAAATTATTATTTTATTTAAAAAATACTAAATATACTTTAATTTTTCAGGCAAATTTGCCTAGATTACAGTTTAAGGAATAAACAAGTTATATATAATAACATATCTGTATATAAGCTTAATTTAATAAAATAATTTATAAAAGAGAATTGATATTTCTACACTCCTATTTTTATTATTTCCATACCCCTGCTATAATTTGGTAAGATCGTCAAATTAAAAACATTAATTGTTACACAATATAACCTAAAACAATACCGATCGATATGTATAAATTTTACAATAGAATCGACATTATATTGTAATGGATCACGTGTTTCCATCCCGGGCTCTTTCACTTCGATCTTCTTTTTCTATAACATTTACCTTGCCTATCTATACATATTATAGTACATTCTTGTATTTCTTCGCACATATGACTTCTTCTCTTAGTTGTTTGTTGAAATCTTTGAGAGATCGATTGAAGTTAATATATGCAACCTAATATATAATAGTTTGGTTAATGTTATTATTGATGCGAATATATTATTCTTATGTTATTACTATGATTATTCATGATCTCAAACTATTATTTTTCTATTAAGATGCAAAAAATAAAGCCACGTACATTTATAATGAGTGTAAAAAAATATAATTACCTCCAAAATTTCAGACTATATTCATCAAAATATCTCTCCATATATAATACAAGCAAATTTGCTTGGAAAATGTTTTTAAGTACGTATTTATATATACGTACATACGAAGATAGCATATAAAATTATGCAGACGAAAGAGATAATTTTTTTAGCAATTCCTGAAGTTGTGATTATCTATTACATTATCGATTTTCTTTAAGATTTTGAGTGTTAATTTTGAAACTAATTTTACGGCTTTAAGATTTTCTATTATTTGTTTAGGTTTAAATACACAGCAATTATAATATCAACATTAGATGTTTTATGCACATAATTTAAAACCAAATGTATGTAATCCGAAAACTTGTAAAGTATTATTTTTTACAACAGATTAATTAAAAAAAATACTAATAGAAGAAGAATTCTGAGTTTGTTATGCAACTACAAGGTGATGAGCTTCTCAAATAAGACGAGCAGATCGATCAGAAGTTCTCCAATAAAATACTTTTCCTGATCAATTACAAAATTAAACATATGTTTAATAATTAAAATTTTGAAATAGATAGCAATTTTATGAAAAAATAAAAATGCGTAGTGTTGGTCTATGAGCGTAACAATATCAATATACTCTAATCCTAATCGATTTTCTTATATTAAAATATATCTCCCATCGTTTAAAAGTGTCATGCGTAAAAAATGATTAAAATTAATAAAGATATATTAAGTGCAAAAGAGAAGATTACAAAAAAAATTTATATTAGAAAATTTACTTACGTATTGCACTGTCTTTAAATGGACATCAGATCTATTTATTTATCCAAATTAGCAAAGTTTAACTGAATCTGTCTTTGCCAATAACCCCAAATAGCCTATATAACTATTATCACCTGTAGAAGATTAATATGACTTTATAGTCTTTTAATATAGTAAGAATGATAGTAAAAAAATTTTTTTAGTATTTAATATAACAAATACTAAAAGGCAATATAATTAGTCATTAAAAATGTTACAACTTGGTCAACACTAAATTTAAAATGACTGCGAAATGTTTTATTGAACACAAAGATAATTAAGAATATAATGAATAATGAATCTACTATATGCAGTTATATGTAAATTCTTTTCGAATTCATCAAATTGATCGAATCAATCCATAAAAGCAACAAAAGCTATACAGGTATAATGATCACAAAGTATAGAAGTATATAATAATCGAAAGCATTTAAAATAAATTCTAGTTACAATTTTTAATTCATAATAAATTCAAGTGCATTATTTATCTATTAATTACGATCAGGACAGGTTCTACTATTATGTCCTACATTATAATATATGCTGCACTTTCTACCTGTCATTTTTAAGTTTTTTAGTTCAAAGGCCGAAGAATTTCTTCGAGTAGAAGATTGAATATCTTTTTGCGATCCAGTAGGCTGTCCTCTTGTATATGTTAGTTATGATTAGATCTAGCAATAGCATTGTTAGTTCTTGAATTATTCTTGAAAGTTCATCTCAGGCCCTTGTTTGTTGTGGAGCCAACCATGATTTATATTTTTGACGAAATTCATCAAGCAATTTTTTCAATTGATTGGCCCATTAAACTTTCATCTGCTGCTAGATTTTGTTGAGATAATGCTTCAATCCATCAATGTTGGTGAATATCATTAAAATTTAATGACTAGTAGGTTGAAAGATAAGTTTTGATTGTGTGAGCGCATGGTAGGCCCATTGTTAAACTTAGAATACCAGTACAAGGCGGCAGAGAGTTAGCAGGAGTTGCGGATAATACTTTTGTAAATTGTTCATACACTTTTCTTAGTGCAAATGAGGAGACCTAAAAAAATATATATAATAACTAAAATAAAATAAGGAACAATGCTCTAAATAATATAAAAAATACCTTATTGATCAATTCACGATAAAATGGAATATTTAGTTCGTGCGGAATCTGGGTTTTTTCTTTAGCAACCATCGTCTTAATCTTATTGTATTGATTCTCGATTAATAATAAAAATTTTTCATATACTATGAGTAAATTTCCTGTTGAAACCTGCAAATATTATTTTAAAGCAGAATGTGCGCTCTCTACTCTCGAAGTTACCGTATTTCCTAAATGAAGGTACCTATCAGTCCACGCATGTACAAATCGATCTTTAAATAGTAGCCATATATTTTGAAGATAATTAATAGTTGGTAAATTTCTGCTATAAGTAATATTCAATTCTTGCCATCTAGTTGCAAAATCTTCCTCTGTGTTTGAATTCACTATTCCTGTCCAACATTTAAGAAAATCAATCTATTTTTTCTCAGTATCGAAGTTTTTTTTACATTTACTCATTATATTTTTTTCTATATGCCATAGACACAAGAAATTTTTTTGACTCTGGAAATATATTTTCAAGTGCGTTCATGAGCACTAATTCGCGATCTGTAATAAAAATATTCAGTTTTTCTACTCTATTAAACAAGCTAGATACTCTTTCAAGCACCTATTTATAGTCTTCTTTGTTTTCATTTTTAAGAAATGCAAAATATGAAAAAAAAGGTCATGTTGAAACTTGTTACCCTGACGATGTTAAGTAGCAGCATCTTGTACTTATTAGTTTTGTATATACAATCAATTAATAACATAGTAGAATAAATCTGGGTTAATTTAACAGACTTATTATAGGAAAAAAAAGATGGGTTATATGCTCATCAGAATCACAGTTATAATCATAAATAAAGGGACCTTCTTTGAGATCATCTAAAATTGCCTGAATAGGCGTTTTCCCTTTGAGGTAATCATTACGAAGCTTATTACGAGCATTATAAATGTCTCATGATATAGCTATAACTGAGGAATTATTTTGGTTCAAGAAGGATAAAATTTGTCAAAGATGAATGCCAGCTTTTGACATCGTATTCACTTGCTCTAATGACTGTTGATTTAACCTTCGAAGAGATAGATGTGCTGAAGGATCTTCAGATGGATCATATTCATGATTTGAGTTACTAATAGACAGAACCCACAAGTTAGACTTCTTTTGATCACGAAGAGCAAAGGGACATTCGATAAGCCTGGAGCTAGTTTTTCGGCTACGTGTTTCATCAGTGTGATTTAAGTGATTCTAATACTTTCCTCTATGATCACAAATTAGATATACTGTATTTGGCTTAGACTTTGCAATAGAAATACCATATCCATTCATAGTTCCAAATTTCTAGACATGTTCTATAAGCACATCCTGACTTGAAAAATTTTCAACTAGAGGAGCAGGTATAACCATTGTAAATTTAAGAGAAACCACTTTGGTAATTATCTTTATATTATTTTGTGTTTATTCTAAATGCACGGTTCTAACTATTTTCTTTTTTAGCATGTATTTCTATTCAATATTATAAAACGAGACTAATAGTAGCTTAACTCAGAGTTTTTATATATTTTATACATATATTGTTTCATATGACTATACAGTAATTATACGGGTCTTTTTTATGTCATAAATATCGTTCATTTTTTTTATTCTTTTCTGTACTATTCATTCAAAGACTAACCTTTTATCTTTATTTATTTTGCCTTCTATATTGCTTAGATAATTATATAACTTCATACTACATTACTTATTTTAATTATATACTACTCTATCTCTTAAACCGTTTCTCCTGCAAATTTGCCCTGAAATTTTTTTAAAAGCATTATTTTTAAAATAAAATCTTAA